TGGCCGCGCGCCGCCCGGGCCGGGGGGAGACACCGGGACCTTGGGGGGGTCCCGGGGCTGCTGGGAACTGCATCGACCTGCGTGTGTTTCATTTCAAAAGAATAAATAGGGGTTTAAATTTACAGGCAGGTTGCGTTTCGTTTATTTTTGTGGGTTTTTTTCTCTTTTTTCCTGTATTTTATTTTTATTTCTACTCCCAAACCCCGAATGATTCTTTACTTGGAATTTAAATCTCCGTTGAATCTAAAAGATGGCACGTTCTCAATGTTACCGTTGCTACGCATGTTTTGTCGAGTCCAAGAGCCAACGTATAATAACTATATCTATATTTACTCTCTAGCTCTCTAACGCAACACTTCCTTTGCATTTTAACCTGAGTACAGATACAATCTTTAATTGCATCTCATGTTTTGGCAGAAGAACAAAATAATTCCTCCAGCCATTTCAAAAGCATTCGGCTTGATAAGTCAGTATAAAACAACCGAGCCTTCTTTTACCGGTATTTTATGTTTGAGAGCATGTACTTCAGCCTCAAAGTCCTCAGGCCTGGACCGCAGGTGCAGCAAGATTATCAGTATTTGTGTAGGGTTTTAAAAACTTATCGTTTCACAGCAGTCCTAAATAGTTCCTACAAGTATTCATCCATGTTTAGGTACAAGATAAGAAAAGTTATTAGAATTTCTGAAAAGACACGCATTTTCAAACGTGTGGTGTCTGTCGGGTGGGGTGAAGAAGCAAAATGGGGACTCCACAGTCCTCAGCAGTCACTTCTTCCAGAGAAGTTGTATTTCGGCTTCTGTGCTGGGAAGTTCCTATTTGTGCTGGTCTTCAGCGCAGTGTAAGTGTCAGTAAATCTTTTTATTTCGGGGGGGGGGAAGCTCTGGCCAAAGTTAGTAACTTTGGTATTAATTCAGGAATAAGGTAATTTTTTTTCTGAAAACTGAAAAAGGTTTAGTTTTTGCAGACAGGGATGCATGTGTGAAGGGACTAGTGAGTTTTGGCGAGCTCAACAAAACCCTGAGTCGCGAGGAAAAGAAATTTTCTACGATAAAAACAATTTTTCCAATGGCCGTAATGAATATGTTCTACTTTCCCGCATAGATTTTCTTTACCGATTGTCTTCGCTGATGTATAGTATTGCTATGCATGAAAACCAGGTAGATCTATCTCACCTATCCAGTGGCAATTGTTCTTTGATTGTAACAGTATATAGTTCGCAAATCCCTTTTTAAAAGTTTGAAGACACAGCGCAGTTCGTAGTATTAGGATAACACCAACGGCAATGTGTTTTTTCTCTCTTGAGGGCCTTGTTACAAACAAAGGTGTGTGCACATGGGTGTTTTATCTCTTTTTTTTTTCTTTTTTTCTTCCAATGGTTGTTTTCAAGATGCTGCCTTAGACCCTTCTGAAGGGAATGATAAGGCTTTTCTGCAAATTGCTCGATTCCTTTACTGATCAGACTTGCACTCTTAGCTACTGCCAGTAATCACAACCAGGGAATAGGAAATTTTGTTGTCTCTTAAGAAAAGCAAATTTGGGAAGCAAACGAGCTCAGTTGAAACTTGCGTGTTCTGTTGTTGTTCCCTCCAAATGTAATACTTAGTGAACTTACGGTGAGAAATAAATTGACGCTGATCAGTCGTAATTCTATTTTTATGCGATGGAAAGAGACAAAGCAAAACCAGGCAATACATTCTTTTCTGTTATTGCCTCTGTAAAGCTAATATTTGATACATTTGGATAGTCTAATATTAGACTTTCAATTACTCCACATCTCTGGAAATAAAATGATCATTTTTATATGTGCCTTCACCTAGTTATACTGCTATAAATCTTCTGTGTGCAATTATTGCGAGCACAGGCATTTCCCAAAAGTTACTGAATTATGCACAAATGTGAGCAGATGTATTGCTATTCATACAGTAAGCAAAATGGAGTAACTTGGCATAATCACATTAGGTAAAACTGCCAATAGACCATGTAATAAAGCATGTTACTCTAGGGACAAGATCCTAATTTCAGTTCTTCTGGCATAAATACAGTGATTTTTGTGGGATTTTGCAAGATTTCCAGGCGACTCATTAGATTCCGACTCTGACCTGTGTGTTGCAGCTTGTGTGAGCGCCCTGCCTTAGGTGTGTGTACTTTTTATCTGCATTCCATATATACCAACTGTGTGTGTGGATACCTACCGTTTGTTGCATAGCAGGCTTGTTTTGCTTATTCAAACATATTTGTTTTCCTTCCTTGTTTCCAGTTTATTCTTTGCTTCAGTTTTTACCAGTGGGAACCAATGACTTACGGAGCTTACCACTATCCAGGCTGGTCCATGGTGCTTGGATGGCTGATGCTGGCCTGCTCAGTTATCTGGATCCCAGTTATGTTTGTGATAAAAATGCATCTAGCCCCAGGCAAATTTATTGAGGTAATTCTTCTGTCTTTTTTGCTGCTTAAAAATACGGTCACAGGAGACTGTCTGGTTTATTTTACATTGATTTTTGTGATATTGAATGTCTAATAGTGCTAAGATTACTTTCTGGTAAGCTAGTTATTGTGTGGCAAAGAGGTGCTCGCTTGATTTAAAATGCAGACCTTCCATTCCCTGTTCCTCAACAAAATGCTCTTAAATTGTCAAGTGATTACTTTCATGAGAACTAGAAGGAGTTACAAATTTCACGAGCCCCGGTATGGCATTGCTGCGGGAACGTTGTTCTAGGTTTGTTGGCCTTTTTTGCAAAAGCAGCACGCAGAGGTAGGAAGCATCAGCTGCTGGTGCGTATCGCGTCGCAGCGAGCTCAGCAGCCAGCTCTAGGAGACGTCAATCCGGGGTCGCCCGTTCGCAAAATGCGAGATGGTTGGATACCCGCTTCATCCGGGTTGCGCTCCAGGAGGTTGTGCCACTTGATGAAGTTCAGGAATAAGATGTACGAAAAGAACTCATGCTCTACAGCTCAAACTGCTCGTTATAAAACTTAGCTGGCAATCTTCCCCCCCGACCTCCTTCTTCATTTCTTTATTTTTCTTGAATAAGCTGATCCTCTCTGGCACCTGAGCTTAAAAAACAATTCCAGGTGGCGCTTTATTTTTCACGCTGCTTTTCTTTATTTTGCCAATCAGATTCCTGCCGCTTCCCCCCACCACGCCAGAAACGGGGCAGTCCCCTTCTGCTCCCTGTCCCCGTGCCGGGGTCCTGCCTCGGTTCCCCGGCTGGTCCCATCCCGCTGGCTCCTCAGTTCCTCGTGGGGCACGGTACAGCAATGTCTTTCTCATGTCAGCATTTCATTCCTTCGTTGCCTTCACCTTGTCTTCTGAAGAAGTTCAATGCTCCTATTTTTGGCCTTTGAGGCTTTTCTTGGTTCTGCCCTCTTGTCACTGCATGCCGCTTCTGCTGTTGCCTCCTTGGGATAAGGAACAGACACTCGCCTCCCCTTTTCGTAGCCGCTTTTGCAGTTCAGTTCTCCTGCAGAACCCATCGGGGCTGTTACATGCCTCAAAAATGAGAAGGAGAGAAAATGCACTTAAAATAGAATAATCTTTTTGGTCTCTCAATATGTCACACTACACATGCCTAAGGGAAAAGACCGTGCTTTTCTGCTTCGCATAGAGCAAAGGAATTCAATATTAAGTGGTGGGACACCCTAGGGAGAGCATCCAAGTAGACAGTTGGGACTAGGCAACGAGGCCGCTTGTCTAAAGGGCCATTTAGCCATTGCGTAGAGCACGTTGGAGTGCGTAGGTCAGGAGACAACTGCTCCTACTGGAAATGAGCTAATGTGAAATTAGACTTACTTGGTCGTCGTCGCCTAAGTTTCCCTCCTTGAGACCGATTGTTCTGCTCCCAATCCCCTAATTTATGTGTGTTGTAATGGCATATATATTGCCGCAAAAATAGGGTGCTCTCCTTACCGTCCCTCTAGGGGTGTACCCAAAGAAACACCCCAAAGTTGGATCTGTTTTGAAGGGGCTTTTGCTGAAGCTGTTTCAGCTGTAGCCCAGTATTTCCTGAAGATTGAGTCTGCTGCATAAAATTATTATGGTTGATTTGGGAGGTAAGAGTTGCAAACTGGTAATTAAGCAGAGATTAAAATAACTGATATAGAGGTCTGATTCACTTTATTAGGTAATAAACTTATAATTGTTCCCTCTTAAGTCATCAGAAATATGTTTTCTTTCCTTTTTATCTGTAAATGCGCCAATCAAATCACATATTCAATAAAGAAATCAGCGGAAAGATTAGAAGATTTTTGTTGTTTGTCAGGTTAACGTTCTCTTCTTTCTTTTCTTCCTGCAGATGGAAATGAAACATTTTGTCACCTCAAAATTAAAATCTCTATTCATTCATAGCAATGTACTTCTTTTGGGTCATTTGTATACTTTTGGGAAATATGCTAAACAGAAATCCAGTTATTTTTATGCAGTTACCCACTGCTTAGACCATTGGACTAAGTAATTGTGCACATGTCCTTCAGTGAGCCTTGGAATCTGTAGCGGTGCTTCTGAGCCCCCCTCAGATGGTGCGGGGGAGACTGTATAATTAAAATCTGGGCACTTTATCCTCTATTAATCTTGCAAACTTTGTGCAAAACAAACACTGAGCAGTGGAGCATTGCAGGGCCGTCATCAATAACCTTAAATGAGCCTATCCTCATTTCTTCTGCATTGTAATTCTGCTCCGTAACTTCAAGTGAGACTCTCTTTTCTCTCCCCCACATTGCAGCGACTCAAGTTGGTGTGCTCTCCACAGCCTGACTGGGGTCCGTTTTTGGCCAAGCACCGTGGTGAACGTTACATGAATATGATTGATCCACTGGGAACCTCTTCCCTGGGACTTAAACTGCCAGTGAAGGATATAGAACTGGGGACCCAATGCTAATGATTATTAACGTGGGTGGCAATAACATTGTCAGCCTTTTCTGATCTTTTTTTTCCATTTTGCTTCCCCGACGTTTCTTCGTTTCCTTTCTGCAGTGCCTGAAAGTGGTTGCTTAGGAAAGTAGGACTTACTGTTGCATGCCATAGGGAAGACCTAGCTAGACCACTTCCAGGTGTAGGTGATGCCCATGACGTGTTCTGTACCCGCTGAAACAGCAAAAGCATATCGTGCAACAGGCGACATACCAGGTTTTGCCAGGTGGCGTAGGAATAAATGAAACACAATGGAAAAATCCTTTGAAGGAACTTCTGTGCGGAATTTGAGCTGTTTCACACGAGCATCCTTGTAACCGGCAGCTATGATGGGATTAGGATTTTGTTAGCGGTGTAATCGAAGGGGACTTCAGCCCTCGGATGGGGTGGAAGTAAGCAAAGAAGGGGATCTCCTGTAGTCCTGGTATAAATCCAGCATAAGGCTCTTGCAGCAAGCAGGGTCGCTTTGTCTACGCTGACAGCAGACCTTGACCCGTTGTGTCTGCGCGCTTCTTTTATGAGTATGAATTAAACTAACTTTGAGGACTTGTTATCTAAACAAGCAGAGGCCCTTTAAACAGCACACCGGGAAGCAACACGTGAGATCGGAACAGAAAGACAGTAATGCATTTGATCTTTTCAAGTAGAAAAAGAAAAGCAAAAATTAAAGAACTTATCATTTGAGACTGGGACTAAACTGCGTTTGAGTCTAGAAGTAGTTTAGAAATGGTGCCAGGCTGAGGTGTATGGGCATCACTGTTTAAAGTACTGTCATATGTTTCTTTTGATAATTTGATACCTGTCATTTAAATTAAAAATGCCTCAGTTATAGGGAGTGTCTGAAACCTTGCTCCACACTTAAGTGCAGCTGTGGCTTTATTTGCTTCACTCCAATACTCTGAACATGGTTTTCCTTGTTTCTCTGCTTTTGTTTACAGTATCTCCTCAAGAAGCCATCATATAATTTGTGCCTAACTTTGTATTCTTACAGTGGTAAGTGTAGTCTAGTTACCACCTGACAACAGTTATTAGAAGCTAGATGTGTTGTTCAACTTTGTGACTCCCCATTCATTCTCCTATAAACATCTTTATATAACCTTTAGATGATGTATTCTTCTCTTTCAACCAATGGGGAAATAGCAGAACCCCACTTGTCTATATATTATATATATAGCACGGAAATTCTTCAAAGCAGTGTTCTCTCTGAAATGTACATAGGGGTGGTTTTTGTTTGCCTTTTTTTTTTTTTTTTTTGCATTTAAATAATTTCCATTAAATAAAAAAAAAAAACCCCAAACCGCAACAATTAACCACTGCAGTCATCCGCACGGATGCAACGTTAGATATACAAAACGCGAGGGTTGCGGGGAGAGGACAATTTGGTAGATGGCCGTTATAACATTGTGTAGCAATAGGACATTCTAAATCATTACATTTTAGAAACCAGATATAAGTGGTGATATGAATGCTAGATTTACATAGTTTTGTTACTTATTGGGCAGAGTAAAAATAGAGCTTTTTAATAAGAGTACATTTATTTACCTGAATAGAAAACTAGCCCGACTTACTGTAAATGCACTAGAATGAGGGAGAAAAATATATCTTCAATAATTGGCAAAACTGTAACCTTTACTCTCTTGTTATATCCTATACATACATATATGATATTTTTTAACAGTGACCGGTGTTCACGTAGTGTGTACTAGTGATGTTTTATGTCCCTATAAATATCTTATCAATCAGTGTAGAGATGGTGAGCTTAGAGTAGTTTAGCCTGTTTTTTCCTTCCCCACACACACTACTGTAGTAGCCAGTAAATGTTCTTTCCTTTCAGGGGACGGTTTCTATCCCCTTCTTTTGTCTGTCTGTCTTCATATTACAGGGTCTCAGGTAAACCTTCAGTTAATGTGTGTCCGTAGATCAGTAGATGTGTTGTTTCATCCTGTCGAAGAAAACAAAAAAAACCTAAACCTTAATGTGACACTTCCACAAACTGTTAACTTATTTTCAATCTCTGTGTGTGTGTGCGTATATATATATGTATATTAAATATATTAATCATTTTGCTGAACTTCCTCTTTCACGGGGCAATTAGTGTTGCCAGTTCTAGGCACTGCTGGAGACCTTTAATCCTCACGCAGGACAAGCGAAGCGCCATCAGGGGTTGTCACTGAGCGAAGCGAGGGCAGATTTTGCAACATTTTGTGCTGGCCCCTGTGAATCCCCACTCCACGGGCTCTGTTGGTCCCCGTCTCGCGCAGCAGCGAGAGGGGACCCTTCCGTGAGCTTCTCTGCCTTAAAGCTGTGCCCCCTTCTTTCAGCTTCGCCCGCTATTCCAATAAGGGGCTTGCTATTCTTACTTCTGGCTTTTATTTTCCTGGCAGAGGCAGGTTTGAGAAGCCGTGCTCTGTTTGATGGGACGAAGGTCCGTAAAGACGAGCTGGAAATTTGGCCGCCACATCTACATGGGGCTGAGGGGCCTTTCTCGGGGTGAAGAAAGGAATCGAAGTCAGCACCTCTAGTGGCAATTAGGTATTTTTGTCAGGAGAAATGGCTTTAGGCCTCTCTTTACCAAGATTACCTAGCATCTTGGTTTGATTTTTGGAGTCCAGGCCAGTTTTAATTCACTACTACTGTGATAAAAAAAAAAAAAAAAAAAAAAACACATAGGTTTGTTTCTCTTTTAAAAAAAACCTCCACGCTCAAATCGCTTAACAGTTCTGAATCCTTTCACTTACTAACTTGTCTCAGGACATGCATTGGAACTGGGATTAACTAATTGCAATAAAATTACCTCAGTGTGAGGATGTCAGTTACTGTCTACCTTAAGTACAAAAGAGATATCATTTGAAGGAATACTGTGAGGTTATGGTATCTCTTCTTTGGCTTGGATTACCAAAGCAGAACACATATGAAAAATTGAATTGCTTTCCATGATTTATGTAATTAATCTGCTTGCTTTTAATTTAGATGTTGTTCCTGTGCCTGCTAAGTCATTAGCACAGGATTAGGCGTAACTTTGAAACTCTGAAAACGGATGATAGTGATTTTGTTCTAGCTGGTATTCATCTTCAGCTTTGACCTCCATTACTAGGCTTGCAAAACCATTAGGAGAGGGGGCAGAAATGCATACAAAAATTACAGAAGATACGAAGTTTTCACTGTATGTTAAAAGCAGATTTTTTTTTTTTTCACATCAGACTTTTTTTGAAGTATTTTACTGGCCAAATCTGAATGTTGAGATTAAATTAACCAGCAGTGACGTCTTTAAATGAGAAGTAACCTTGAAGTTTGAGAATGCACTTCATTTACCACGTTCTAGGAAAAGTTTGCATGTACTTTGATAATTTTCTAAAAATAAATTTAGTAACTAATTAAATACCAGTAAAGATCTTTAAAAAAAAAAAAAAGGAGGGGAAAAAGCCATATTAGTAAAAATGTGATGCATGTATTTGCAGATCTATCTATCTTGTGAGTAAAAAATGTTCAAATTTGGTGAAATTAGTTATGTTGCATATTTTTTTCTTTGAAATGAAATTGAATTTCTGGGTGAGCTGAGATGCATTATTGTATGCATTAAAGATTATACCTAAATGCAAATGCTTGCCATCTTCAAATTCTTTGGGGTCTTCCTAGTGTTTTTAATATGCAATGTTCAAAACCTGTGTTTCAGCTAGACATGGCAGCACTTTTGTTTCCAAAAGAAGGGTTTAACAAAATGACCTTTAATTGAGAAAGACTTGGATTGTCTTTATGTGATGTTTCAATTGGGTCAAAGTAGTTTTTTGATTAGGTTCTGCTCCACTGACCGCATTAGATGTGCCTCAGCACTGAAGATCATTGTTTCCGATACACTGTGTGGCTATCTCTTACCATGAAATTCCAACGCCTGATTTATTTTAAATGCCTTTGGTCTTTTTGAATATATGTACAGTTGTATGGATAATATGATTTCTTGTTGCCTGTGTTAAAGCAATTGCTTATTTATGGCAGACATTGGTTTCCTCTAGGTTTCTGACTCTGCAGCTCCACTTCTTGCAATCAAAGAGAGACTGGTAGGGATTGTGGGTTGCAGGCTGCAGAGCTTCAGCAAGTGGCATCCCAGAAAGCCGCTCTGTTTTGCTAGTAAGGCTGTTGTAAGAGACGCTTGTTTCTCAGTTTGTCGTGAAATGGCGTGCACATAAGATACCTGTAAAATGGTCAGAGCTTGATATTCCCGAGGGACTCAGGTTGATGACTCGAGGGGGGGAGGGCAGGGGTATTGTATTTGGGGTTTCTGCCTTTGTCACCCTCAGGCAGCCTATCACCAAAGAGAGAAGGTTTTCCTGATGGGTTTAACGTAATGCGAGAACCGGGCTGGGCCTTATTGCTTGCAATATTATTATTTGCCCATAATATTTAAATACATCTTCAGGTAACCATTTGCCTTATAGCTATCTTCCATTGTTAAGAAAACTATCGATCGACTAAAACATGTTGTTATCTGTCATTTATATTATGTAGTATTACCTTGTAAGGTAGATGCTTAGCTGGTATAAATTGTCACAGCTTTGTTTGGAGCTGTGACAATTTAGACCAGCTGAGAATTTGCGCCCTGTGTCCTATGGCACTTTATTACGGACCCATCGCTGATGGGTTAAATCTTAATTACTTGCGTAATGTCATATATATAAATATATATATATATATTTACAGGCATTCTATGGGGTACTGCTGCCTATGGATAAAGATTTGTACCCTAACCAGGTCATTATAATTTTTTCATTAGCTGTATGTGGAGAAGATATATTATGTTACAAAGGATGCATCATATATATCTCATGTAGTGCGTATTACAATGCTGTATGTTATTCATTTAAGAAATCATTATTCTTGAGGCCCTACCTCAGATTTTGTATTTATGTGTACAAATGCAATTTATTGTATTATATATTTGCCTATTATATTTGGATGTGATAAATTAAAATT